TACAGCTGCAGGTCTTCAATCCAGACGGCAAAGTCAATGGCCCTCCCCTCAGCGTCAAAAGTAAGAACATTGGGGGTGGCCATGGCAGCAGCTGAAAGTCTCACCGGGCTGGGAGAGTCGGGTAGGTCAGCAGCAGAGGAACACAGCTCAGGAACAGCAGCACGGCTCCTCAGGCGGCTCGGGCGGCTCGGGCGGCTCGGGCGGCTCGGGCGGCTCGGGCGGCTCGGGCGGCTCGGGCGGCACGGGCGGCTCGGGCTGCTCGGGCGGCGGCTCAGCCGCAGCTCAGCGGCGGCTCGGGCGGCGGCTCAGGTGGCCCGGGCGGCGGCTCAGGCGGCGGCGGCTCGGCGGCGGCTCGGCTGCTGCTGGGCGGCTCGGCTGATGCTGGGCGGCTCGGCGGGGCCGCGTAGCAGAGGGCGGCGGGGCCGCGTAGCAGAGGGCGGCGGGGCCGCGACCGAAGAGGGCGGCGGGGCCGCGTAGCAGAGGGCGGCGGGGCCGCGTAGCAGAGGGCGGCGGGGCCGCGTAGCAGAGGGCGGCGGGGCCGCGATCGAAGGGCGGCGGGGCCGCGTAGCAGAGGGCGGCGGGGCTGCGTAGCAGAGGGCGGCGGGGCCGCGTAGTAGAGGGCGGCGGGGCCGCGTAGCAGAGGGCGGCGGGGCCGCGTAGTAGAGGGCGGCGGGGCCGCAATCGAAGGGCGGCGGGGCCGCGTATCAGAGGGCGGCGGGGCGGCGTGGCAGAGGGCGGCGGGGCCGCGTAGCCGAGGGCGGCGGGGCCGCGATCGAAGGGCGGCGGTGGGGCCGCGTAGCAGAGGGCGGCGGGGCCGCGATCGAAGGGCGGCGGGGCCGCTAGGGAAGGGCGGCGGAGCCGCTAGGGGAAGGGCGGCGCAACGGGCCGCTAGGGGCGACACGACGGGTCGCTAAAAAAAAAAACGCGCCTCGGGGCGCGGTTCGGTGGGCCCTAGAAGCAGTCCCTAGGAGGGAACCTGCTCTGATTCCATGTGAAAACAAAGAACGAGAATGGATGACTATGAAGTGAAGTGAATACAAATAGGAAACCCTAATGTGTTGTACCCCCTATGGGATACCCCACTATAGCCTACACAAACAAGTAAGCTATATGTTCTGACAAACACTTACAGGACATCGAAGTTGTTTTTAAAATACTGAGTGACAACCGCCTACTTACCAAAGCTTCCAAGTGCGGGTTTTTACAGGACAAACAGGAGTTTTTAGGACACAATATTTCAGCTGAAGGAGTGGAAATAGACCCGAAGAAGATCGTGACGATTCAAGCATGGCACGCGCCGACAAATTTGACTGAGTTGCAGAGCTTTTTGGGGTTCGTCAATTACGTGCGCCGGTTCGTCCCCGACATGGCGAAGTTGACTGCCCCGTTGACCGACCTACTGAGGAAGGGGGTTGAGTCCACGTGGGGGGAGAAAGAGCAAGCTGCCTTCTCGGTCCTCAAAACAATTTTGTGCTCGCCGCTCGTGCTTCACATCGCAGATCCGCACCGCCCGTTCAAGCTCATCACCGACGCTAGCAACATCGCTGTGGGAGCAGTACTGTTGCAGGACTTCGGGAACGGCCTCCAGCCAATCGCGTACGAGTCCCGCAAGCTCCACCCGCCCGAACGCAACTACCCGGTACACGACCGCGAGATGTTGGCGATTGTGCACGCATTCAAGGTGTGGCGATGTTACCTCACGGGAGCACACATGACAGTACAGATAGACCACCGATCACTACAGTACCTTCGCGCCCAATCGAATCTCAACCCGCGACAGATCCGTTGGTTGGACTATCTGGAGTCCAACTTCCACTATACGGTCACGTACAAAAAAGGTGCATCCAACATCGCCGACGCACTCACACGCCCCACCGCCCAACTCCACGCCATCCTACTCGCCCAAACCAACCCACTGCTAACCGGCCTATTCACCCACAGATACAGTACCGACCCATTTTTCACGACCGGAAATTCACAGCAACTGGCAGAAGCTAAATGAGTCTATTACGTAAGACATGCACCAACCACATCTGGGTACCCGCGTACTCACTACTGAGGGAACTGTTACTGCAGGAGGCACACGACGGGATTACCTCGGGACATTTTGGGGTAGAAAAAACGCGACAGCAACTGCAGCGGTATTACTACTGGCCCGAGCTGTTGACCGACGTACAGCACCACGTGGGCTCGCGTCCTACGTATCAGGTGATGAAGAGCTCGTGAAAAAGAAAGGCGGGTCAGTTGCAGCCGATTCCACCGCCTAAGCGCGCCTGGCAGCAGGTTACCATGGATTACGTCACAGGGTTACCTTCGAACCCCGGGAGTAACGACGCAGTTATGGTCGTCGTTGACAGGTTGACGAAGATGGCACACTTTGTTGCGTGCAAGAAATCGATCTCAACCGAAGAAACCGCTCGCCTGTTCATCGCAACCGTCGTTCGACTGCACAGGATACCAGCCGCGATAATCAGCGACCGCGACACGAAGTTCACTAGCAACTTCTGGAAGAACCTCAGGGAGCAGTTCGGGACTAGGCTACAGTTCAGCTCGTCGTACCACCCCGAGACAGATGGTCAAACGGAGCGGATGAATCAGACGATGGAGCAGCTGATTCGTGCCACGTGCGACGATCTAACAACTTGGGAGCAGCAGCTGCCGCTGATTGAGTTCGCGTACAACAACGCCACGTCAGCGACGACGCAGCAGTCCCCGTTCTACCTGAACTACGGGCAAAACCCTATAGTGTCCATGACGTCGATTCCGGACAACCCAACGCCACGCGCACAACAATTTGGCAAGATTCTGCAAGCTGCCAGCACTAGAGCCGCCAAAGCAATTAAAAAAGCAAATATCATTGCTAAGCGCAACGCTAGCCGCCACCGCCGCCCAGTCACGTATCAGTCAGGAGATTACGTACTGCTCGACACACAGAACCTAAGACCGCCCGTCGTACCGAAATTACGACCGCGCTACTGTGGACCATTCCAAATCAGCCACATGATCACCCCACTAACAGCACACTTACTGTTGCCGACAGACTGGTACATCAGCCAATCATTCCACGTCAGGCTGCTTCGCCCATACATCCCTACTACGAGCCAACTGCTGCGTCACCACCCGCCATCCATGACTCGCCCTGCATCGGAGCCGATCATCGAGCCCGAAAAAATCCAGAGCCATCGGATTCGACACCCGACGGGAATCAGGAGGATTGAGTTCCTCGTTCGCTGGAAGGACCGCACGCCAACTGAGGATAGCAGGGTGCCCCTGGCCAACATCGAAAACCACCCTGCCTTGCAAATGTACCCGAGGAGCTGGGGTTTCCGCGATATACACGCACTCGCGTAGCGGAGGGGGCTTCTTAAGGAGGGGGGGGGGGGGGGGGGGGGGGGGGGGGGGGGTGGGGGGGTAGTGTAAGGAATTTTCTCGACATTCCTTGGCGCATCCTGCAACATCGCGTACAGCAGTAGCCGTTGTTCGTCCGTTACTGCTAACGGGGCTTCGCTGGCCTACGCTTCGGGACTAGCCCGAACCTCACTGCCAGCGTAGCACTAGCTAGCTCGCTCGCTCATGCCTTCGCTCACATTTTGTACTCCTCGCCACCTAGATTCATTGCACCCGTAACACAATTACTCAAATTCCTGCCCTCGCTTACCTCTCCCAAACCGAGGTCGCGGTTTGTGAGGGCAGGAAACGCGGCTTGTGCGGGACAGACCAACGTAACCTCGCGGTTCGCCGAATCCCCGAAGCTCAACATTTTGTCAAACCTACGCCAAGCGAAACAAGGGAAGCAGGGAGGGAAACTTTCCCAAACATGATGCATGAGCCCAACCCAACAACGACTCCATCCACTGACACAATCTCCCACAACGAACCCAGCACCTGCCCTGTACCACCACAATAGCAGTCACAAATGTGCTGTGTGCTGAACTGAATGGATGAACTCGTCTTACACTCCCATTGTAACAGTGCAGCCGAGTGCTGCCAACTGCAATGCAGGTGGGCAGAAGACAATTGTAACAGTGCAGCAGCACGGCGCCAAGAACAGTGCAGGTGGGCGGAAGTCAAGCGCCACCTCACCTGCAGTTCGGATTGGTCGAACGCCCCAACCTGCAGCTGGGCGACCAGATTCCGACACGCAGCCCAAGTCAATCCCACGCATGAAAATTACGAAACGCAGGACTCCGAAGTTCCGACCGCTCGCCGACTTCGCCAACAACACCGACGAAATTACAGCCCCGTAACCAAGCTCGCCATCCAATCCCGTACCGCAATAATTCTCTGAATTTCACGGCAGGTTCATTTCAAAGGGTTGGGTTACCATTGAGAAATTCAGAGAGAGTCGCGACTTGGGAGTGCGACTCGATGTTTGAATGTGCTCTATAAAATTGTACTGTCAAATTTGTGAAGAGATAGTGCAAATTCCAGAGAACTCCAGAGAGCACTCTATCCTCGTTTTCCTAGCCTACTAAGGCTGCTACTTCCCTGCCCAGCAACGTTTCACCCATGCTGATTACCGTTTCCTGACTTCAAAGCTTGCTTTTGCCTGCCCCAGCATTCCTCGTTGCCTTTGCACAGCCCTCGCTTCTGAGCCTTTCCCGCGTGACACTCCGTCAGTGCTTTTCAGTTTTGCGCGATCTATTCATGGATCGCTACCTAAAAGGAATAGAGTAGTCAGTGAGCACCGCCGGCGGTGGCTTAACCGTGCTCTTGGGGCTCTAGACTATCATCGTCGTTCTCATAGAAGCAGTTAGCGCACACGATGGGTGGGGAACGAAGAGATTAGTGCCATGAGACATCATTGGCGTTTCCACTCAATGTGGGGGCTCCGCGACATCGACTGGCGCACTTACTTCGTGCCCAGCTTCCGCCGTGTCCACGCGCGTCTCGCGCGTTGAGGTGGCCAATCTTCTTATTACACGCGTGAGCTGATCGCCACGCTTCATCCGAGCCTGCACCGCCGCTGATTTGAGCCATCGTAGAATTAGCAGCTCGCAATGCTGCTTTCACGGAGCTTTCGCTGTGCTCTGGTAGCAGCGCTGCTGCTGCACCTCTCTCTCTACTGCTCTCTTGCTCAACACTCACCCTCTCTGCCGAGCACGGCAGGCAGGCAACTCGCCGCTGCCAAGCAACAGCCGCAAGCGCCGGGCGGGGTGACGAGCACGAGCCTCGTTCTTCTGCCCAACAACCCGCTTGGCGCGAAATGCCTCGACGGCAGGTGAGAGCGGGGGCGAGGTGCGGCGTTCGGGAAGGGGAGGGCGACGCTACTGATACCAGGATGACGAGCAGACTTTGTCTGGTCTGACTGTTGGCGGCGAATTCTAGAGAAAGTGCAGAATCGTGTGATGCACGCTCATTTAAAAAAAAAAAATTACAGTTTCAAAACACTTGCTACCCTCCACTTCCGTCGCTTACCCCGCAGTCCCCCGGGGTACTACTTCCGCCCGGGCTTTGGCGCGGGGAAGCGCTTCTGGCACATATTCCTGCCCGCGGGGGGGTGGTGCACCACGCTCGCGGACTGCGCCCTGCGCGGCACTCGTCCGCTTGGCTCCACGCGCTACTGGGCTCGCCTCAACGGCTCTGCCCCCCCGTCCGCCTCAGTCCCGACAACCCGGTCACCTCCCTCTACCACCCCGTCGCGTCCCCCTTTCCTCTTCCCCACGCCGTCGCCCCCGTCGTCGTCGTTCGACGGCAGTGACGACTCGCAGGTCAGTCGTGCGACGGCTCTCAATAGGCGCTGCCATCCAGTGCGCCTCTACACTGCCCCACTTCACACCCTCACTCCGCTGACTCCCACCTGCCCCATGCACTGTACTTTCCCCTGCATCCCGCACCTCTTGTTAACCCCGCTGCCTTTCGCACCATATCTGTCCCACTACACGTCTGCGCTGCTGCGCCACAGCACCCGCCAAGCACCTCCAAGCACCCTATTCTCCGCATTCCCCGTCGTCTTTTTCTCCCCCCGACCCCACCACTTCACTGTCCTCTTAATTCATCCCTCCGTCCTTAAAACCATTCCACGCTTCATTCCCCACGTTTCTTCACCTATTCTGCCGCATATTCTCCTTCATCCCGTGGTTCCCCGTTACATGCGCATGCGCGCCGTCGCCGGCCGTGCAGAGCGCGTCCCCGCTGCGCGCCGTGCCAGGGTTCAGCGGCATGCTGAGCAGCAGCGAGGCGGTGAACCCGGGGCTGTTCAACTGGAACCTCGCCATGCCCATCTACTGCGACGGCGGCGGGTACGCTGGCACGGCTGGCCGCGTGCACCTGCCAGGGAAAGGAAACAACTCCATTTACCTCGATGGCTTCAATGTTACACGGACCATTCTCGCAGGTCAGTTCCGTGTCCCTCCATGTCGTCTTTCTACTCGCCCATGTTCCATGTCACACTTTCAATCTCTGCTTGCCACACCGTATGCCCCATCTGACGCCTCCCTGGTTACCCCGTACGCCCTTACCTCGCGAGTAGCACCAACGGAAGCACGGCAATTGCACTTGTGTTGCCTGCGAATCACCATTCCAGCCTTACCTGCTCCCACACCCCCCACAGTCAGGAGGGTGACAATGGTATGACAGGCCAGTGGTGCTGCAAGCCGCATGTTTCCTGCCCTGCTCACCACTACTGCCTCCTCCTCCACCCCTCCCTTGCCGTGCAGATCTCCTGGCAGTGCTTGAGTTGGCGTCTGCACGGCGTGTGCTGGTGGCAGGAGCATCAGCGGGAGGGCAGGCTGTGACAGCGTGGTGCGAGCGAGTGGCGGCCATGGTGCCCGGCGCCGTTACCAAGTGCCTCTTGGACTCGGGAGTATTCCTGGGTGAGTCACATGGACATATGGGTCTGTGACGCGCACAGGGAAGAGACCTCAAGACATGGCAAGTGCTGGCGGTATGCACGTGGGGAATCTCCTTGTACGCAGTATCACCTGCTGGATGGACGTTGGCTCGCGGTTGTGAGTTGCGGATGCCAACTTTATGAGCCGTGGCCCATATTCTATCTTTGCACACGCCACTCCTTGTGTGCAGACGCCAAGGACAGGACAGGCACATGGCACTTTCGGCAGGTAGCGAGGCAGATGACAACACTGCACAGGGCCCAGGGCAACGATAAGTGCATGCAAGGTGATCTAGCACACCTGGTACCTAGGCCTGAGCACGTAACTTTCCGTCATGTTGTAATCTCAGCAATGGTACCTACAGACACTGATTCGAGTCGTTGCTTCCCCGACACGTGCAAGCTAACTCCAGTTGTTTCTTTCATGTCCAATTTCAGCAGAGTGGCCATCCACTCAGTGGCGCTGCTTCTTCCCTCAGTATACCTTGCCGCACATTACCACACCAGTCTTCCTCCTCTCGCCCCTCCTGGACCACCGAGCTCTCATACTTGGCAACCAAATCCGCAACGACACCGGCTATGCCAAGCAGTGCATCAGCAACATTCTGCGCAGCACAGCCAACCTCACACACGCCATGCGCTACAGCGCCCGGCGCAATGCCGTGGCAGGGAAGGTGAAAGTGTGCACACCCGAGGAGACCAATGCTATCTTAGCGGCGGGCAACACGCTCCTCACTAGTGTGAAAGCCATAGTGCAAGAACGACCTACATGGGTGGCGTACATCCCAGCTTCAGCAGCACATTGCTACACATACTTCCCATCCTATAGCGAAGTTTCTATACAACAATATTCATTAAAGAACACTGTGGCTGACTGGGCTTTAGATGCACAGAAACAACTGAGATTGCAAGGTCCAATCGTATGAGCGCTAGTGTAGGCCATGCCTTCATGTATCAGCGAAAAATGGTTTATTCGTGCAGATTTTAGTGTACCATCAAGTTTGTTATGCCATGCCAGGTTTTGATTTTGTTTTTGCCCGAGTTTTGTGGTCTTGCCGGTGGTGTAGGTTAGGTGCACATTCCAGGGTTAAGGTTTGCATATATGTACGGCGGTACCATTTTCGTTTCGTTTCTTTTCTAACATAGTACGTATCATCACTAGGTCCGATCTCGCTTCCGCTCCGCCCCTAGCCTTGCGCGCCCCAATAGTGCCCCTGCCGCTAGTCGCCAATCGCGCCCTATTAGCCCATCTCGTCGCGCCTAGGCAAGCCCCCCCGTGGCCCCATCCCGTCGCGTTCAGGTAAGGCTCCCGCGGGTCCCATCCAGGCCAAATTTTATCAGTGTAAATCACCCTGATACCCTGATTATCAGGGTGGTTTTTGGTATTCACACTGATGCCTCAGGGTATTTTTTTTTGGAGCTGTGATTTTCCTGATCAGCCAGGGTATACGTTTAAGGCACACTGATGCACCAGGGTAACCGTTCTTCTTAGCGAGTTTTACCCTGAAGCTAGTACCGTACCACACCCCCCCACCCCCCCCCCCCGGACCTCCCCCCACTTTCCCATAACTCGGGATTCCCGTTGGCCAACTGTCAAAACCTGAATTTGCGTACATGTGTTGGCACGAAGTGGGCCACTATTGGCCAGAAATACAGTTTCGCTCTACACAACGCCAAGGACTCAACTCAGACTAAACTCATTGTAACAATAACTGAGCAGGGTTTTTACAAGTCTTACACTGATGCCTCAGGGTAAAATTTTCAAACCTAGCCTGAACCCTGATGCAAAAGAAATTTCCTACCGGGTAACACTGATAATCAGGTTTTTGCTTAGGTGCAGCACTGATCATAAGGGTTGCTCAAAACCAAAAATTAGCCCTGGTCCCATCCGTTGCGCGCAGAAAGCCCCCCACGGGCACTACCCATCGCGCTAAGGGAACCACTCCCCCACCCCACCCCACCCCTCCCTCCCCCATTTGCGGCAGCAGTAGCACCTCCTACCGCCACTGGCGCCTACTGCATTAGCGCGCCGCCGCTGTTACGAATAGTAATTATTGAAACATTACTATGCACTCCTTAGCGCAGCAATCAAAGCACGTACTATCGAGACTGAAGACGAAAGGGCGGAAGCGAAGCGACGCGAAGGGTCACACGGTTACGAAAGGATCTGGACCGTTGGGCAGACAGCATCAGGAAACAGCAGCGTCGAGGATTCTGCCCAAACAGTTTCGTAACTGTCTGGAGTCGCACGATTGGATCTCTCTGTAACAAGGAAATGTACCCCTTAGAGTACATGGCTAGCTAGGTCGATTCGTATTCCTCCCTGTACCGTACTCTTATTTATACCCTTGTATTTGCATGTTTTAATCATCTCAAACATTTTACATCCACTCTGCTATTGAGGTCAAGGGCCCACCACCACTATTCAGTCTTGTGCGAACCTTCCAGAGGTGATCCTAGGGACGATCAACTTCTGATCGCAGCATGGTATGAGAACGACTCGGGAATCCTTCGCACTGCCACCTCCGAAATCTTTGGCGAACGAAGTGGCGTCCGGCACACACTCGCGTCTGAGAATGGCCGGAGAATTTGGTGGTCAGACAAATCTGACGGCTCAAGCGCAACTCAACCCAGCTGCGACAAGCGAGGAAACGACGACGATCGGAACCGCCGTCTTCGCACAACTGCTTCGGCGACTCACCAGCAGGCCCTCAGATTCGTTTTGGGGCTGTCTGATTCGATAGACTTAGTACAAATTTTTAGTCTGATTAATCTGACTTGGTAAAAAAAAAACTCTGAAATTTCAGAGTTTAAGAGTATAAAAGTCTGATTACACAGAGTTCACATCAGTAGGGAAGCTGATGGATCAGCCTAAAACGAGGTGGTGATTGCGCCGCGCTACACTGCTGTAACTGTTTCAGCTTGACAGACAGGACTGAACTGTACTTGCAGCGCTCATCGCGGGTGTTAGTGTAGATTTCGCACAGGACTACTAGAGAAGGTACCCCCTAAAACGCTCATGGATCACAGTACACTCTAAAAAAAAGGCTGAAAAATCAGACAAGGCCTACATTTTTTTTCTGAATATTCAGTGTTCACAGCAAAAAAAACTCCGAACTTTCAGAGTTCACAAAAAACAAAGGCTGAAATATCAGACTTTTTAGACAAATCAGAGAATTTCTCCGACTTCTGGGGGCCTGCTCACCAGCTTGGAGCAAGGACTCCAAACACTAGGGAACAGCGATGCGGGAACCTCTTCCCAACCCTCTCAACCGGCCTCGAACGACCACAATACCGCTCCGCATACCTTCTCTCTCGACACTAATGGCTCAACCCCCAAAACTCCCCGTCCCAACGAAGAAGCAATTCTCTCTGCACAATTAAGGTTTCTGAGCATATTAAAAATAGAGACAAGTGTGTGCTTTGACGGTAGAGACTTCTATACGTGGAGCTTCGAACTAGAGCTGCTGCTGCAAAACGCGCAGATCTTCCATTACTTCGACGCGAGCTACTCGGGACCCGCTGAAGACACCGACGACGCTAGGACAAGGTACTACAACAAGTCCCTGATGGCGTACGGATTTCTTCTGCGAAACATGTCGCTGGTGGAGTAGTTGAGCATCCGCTCATACAAAACATCACCTGCTCCACCCCTCGACGCTTCGCGCCACCTGAACGGCGTTTATCAACCGAAGGATTCATTTTTGTCGAGCCGCCCGCTCCAGCACCTACCGGAGACAAGAATGGCCCTTGGGGAGAAGGCCAACAGTGTCAGAATCCCAACCACTAGACCATTGGGATAAAAGGGCTTGTTTGTGTAGCGGGTAAGTGCGCCCATAACCCCCCAGACCAACGTGCCTGTAACCCTTCCCTAGGATCAATCGGGGATCACCAGTGGACCTCTGACACCCCCCCGCACTGGGATGCCCGAAGTGCACACACCGGGATTCGAACCCGAGACCTTCGCTCTGATACCATGTCAGAATCCCAACCACTAGACCATTGGGATAAAAGGGCTTGTTTGTGTAGTGGGTAAGTGCGCCCATAACCCCCCAGACCAACGTGCCTGTAACCCTTCCCTAGGATCAATCGGGGATCACCAGTGGACCTCTGACAAACAGTTACATCAATCGCTGTCGGAGCCTACGCGATCAAATCGCGAAGTTAGGAAGCAACATTTCCAAAGAAATATTTGTGAATATTGTGCTTCAAGGGCTCGGCCCAGAGTGGCGGCCCAGAGCTTCGAACTAGAGCTGCTGCTGCAAAACGCGCAGATCTTCCATTACTTCGACGCGAGCTACTCGGGACCCGCTGAAGACACCGACGACGCCAGGACAAGGTACTACAACAAGTCTCTGATGGCGTACGGATTTCTTCTGCGAAACATGTCGCTGGTGGAGTAGTTGAGCATCCGCTCATACAAAACATCACCCGCTCCACCCCTCGACGCTTCGCGCCACCTGAACGGCGTTTATCAACCGAAGGATTCATTTTCGTCGAGCCGCCCGCTCCAGCACCTACCGGAGACAAGAATGGCCATTGGGGAGAAGGCCAACAATTACATCAATCGCTGTCGGAGCCTACGCGATCAAATCGCGAAGTTAGGAAGCAACATTTCCAAAGAAATATTTGTGAATATTGTGCTTCAAGGGCTCGGCCCAGAGTGGCGGCCCTGCAAGGCGCTCCTCCGACGGCACGGGGTCATCTCGGAGGCCGCCCTATGCACCGCCCTTCTCGTCGAACAACGGGATATGGACCAGCAGCGACCAGCGCCGCGACGAGAACGGGAACGCCTCGCCTTCTACGCCGACAACACAGAAGAGCGACGGCCGCGGCGCCTTTACTGCAAGGTTTGAAAAATTTTTGGGCACCTGGTAGATCGATGCAAATCCCGATTTCGCCCTCGCCAGACCAATCCGAGCAACTGGTCCGGCAGACAAGACGCACGGAACGACACGCGTCCAGCCCAGGGGCATCAACCCCCATCGCATAACCTGAACCCAACGGTTCAGCATCAGCAGCAGCAGCCACCGACTGCGCCCGTGCGCAACGTCATGGGCAACATCGTGTCACAAGCGGATCCCATTGTCCCCTCGCGCACTCACCGTCACCTGAGCCAGCACGCGAACCAATCGAAGCGTTCTCGAACAACAATCCGCTCAGCACGTGCCACGACTTTACCGACGACGATGAACAGGACTGGAATCTCCCAGTCCCGCTGCTTGAGAGCCCCCCGGACGTACCTCATACGCGGGCGTGTCAAACATTATATATGTTTCTGTTGTGTAGGCTACAGTGGGTTAGCCTTTAGGGGGTACATTTCACTAGGGTTTCCTACTTGTACTCCAACAACTTTCTAGTTCATCACTTCTTGTTTCTGTCAGGGCGACACCGATCGATTGGATCGCGCGCGAACAGTTTCTAAAGTTTGACACACCGCACATCGTTACTCCGCGATTGGCGCTGCTCGCACGTAACGACAACAGGCGCTACAACACGTGGTACCTAGACAGCTGCTATGGGCAGCATATGGTGGGCTCCGAGCGTTACATATCCAACGCCACCCCCACCCCCGCCATGACCTACGTCACCATGGCGAAAAACACAAGCCTGCGCGCAAGCGCGCAAGGAATCATGGTGCTCAAGGCTCGAGGAAGCAGGACGCACATCACGCCGAACGACGTGCTGATCGTACAAAATTTACACTTTAATCTCCTCTCGGCGGCGCAACTCATGGATTGCAGAGTTGACCTGACCCCGAGACGCGCGACATCCTGCTCCACTATTACGCGCCGAACATGACACGCAAGCAGATCAGGCGAGCACACTTCAAGAATGGAGTATACATCCTCGATTTCGACATCCCCGATTGAAGCAGCGATTCGCACGAGCTCATCGACCTCGTCCCCCTGCGCTTCGAACACATTCACCAACGAGACTGGAAACATCTAGACGGACGACCGTGGGTGCCACATCACCCTCACCCACGCGAGCTGGTGGTACATGTGGAGAATGAGGAATGAATTGACTAGGAAACATGTGGGTACAAGTAGGAAACCTAGAAGAGTTGTACCCTATAGTGTCTACCCCA